TGCAAATTCCGTTGTCAGATGGGAATTGTTCTCATTTTATTGACTTTAATCATCATTCGTTTATTTTTTTACGAAGTCAGAGGATGAAATTAGCGCTACGGTGTAATATACAAGTGGTCGTTTGAGAGTGCAGTAGATCAGTTTTCGAAGGATTTGGCACGAAAATGTCATCGATGAATTTCGAAATGTTTATGGGATCAACTGAACGTTTCAACTCTAACATGAACGTAATTTTCTTATGATCGCATTTATGTGACTTTTCTGCAAACTTACTCTAGTGATACGCTACTCGCAATTTAACAATTCTATACGGCATAGTCAACACCTAACTCTCGTCAACACGATTCCTGTTTCAATATGAGAATGGCGTAGGTTGAAGCTCGAAACAATGAAATCCTCGCTAACCTTTCCGTAGATCCATCTCGATAGATTCGCTTCTCATCACCTATGTAATGCTTCAGTTCACGGAGGTCAACCTTATCTCCAAGAGCAACACCGAAACGCTCGGCACCAGTTGAACGAAGCAATTCACTCGCACTTAGAACCTTATCCCATGGATCCTGCGACATACCATCGTTCATCAACACCACAACCTGAAGTGTTTCTCGCTTGCGATTTGTCAGCAATAACATATTTCAGCAACACTATTGTGACTGAACACTAAGTGACGTTTTGAACAAGTAGAAATTGCACAGCTACGATGAGCCTGCAATAAATATAGTGAGTTTAGCCTGTTGAAAAGCTCTCCTAACAGAGTAATGAAATCCAAATGAATCATCGGGTTCAAATTGAGGACTCATGTATACCTGGATAGCATCAGGTCTGCGCCCACGTTGCAGATCCTGCACAGAAAGTTCGACAGCTTGCGCTGTCAGCGTACTACCACCAGTGTATTTGATATCTTCAATCGCATGTCGAACCATCTACAAGTAGGTCAGAATCAAAAACTCGAAACATTCACTAGTGTGTTGCATGATCCTTTCTTTGTTCATTCGAACTCTCCCAAATAAAACAATTCCATTGA